AACTAGGTTAGGAACTTCATGTCTGTGGGACTTGTTTGATGAGGTAGCCTGAAACATTAATCAAAAGAACATATTTGTCTTAATAAACCTAGACATAAATATCGTCTAACAAATTACCTCACAAACTATTAATAAACAGACTGGAGTCTACCTGAAGAACCTATCCCCTTCTAAATTAACGAAGTGGTTTCGTGCAAATCGATATCAAATAAGTTAACTTTGGTACGATTTTACGCCAACTTGAATCATTAATTAACCTTAGACCGAAATTTTCTCCTAGCCAAAACTACTCCGGACACTAAAATACCAAAATTACGAAGATTATTAGGTTTTATTTTAAGAGATTTCTATCAACATAAGTCTAGAATCATTCTTTGATCTTTCTCTTCTCCTTTGGCCTTAAGGATTCCATGTGATGAGGGCTTGTCGTGTGACACAGTTGGGTGCTTTCCTCAATGTGTGTGCTATCCATTTCCAGCGCTTCTATCTGATTTCTTCCTCCACTGCAATCTGGTTTGCTATCTCCCACAGTAGGTTGTTGCTAATAGTTTCCGGCCAACGGATCCAAAGTATTTTGCATAAACAACTGTTAATAAACACTTGTATCTTCTGGATGATGGCTTTGGTAGTTCTCCAGGTTTCCGCCACATACAGTAGAACTGTATTGACATTTGTATTGAAAATTCTGACCTTGATGTTGGTTGTCGATTGTTTTGAGTTCCATATGTTCTTCAGTTGTAAATATGCTGCTCTTTCTTTTCTGATCCGTGACTTCACATCTGCATCTGATCCACTGTGTTCATCGGTGATGCTGCCTGAGATTTAAATGTTTTTACATCCTCCAAAGCTTCTCCGTCAAGTGTGGTTGGATTGGTGCATGTTGTGTTGTATCGGAGAATCTTGCTTTTACCTTTGTGTATATTGAGACCTATTGCTACTGAGGCTGCCGCAACACTGGTCGTCTTCTCCTGCATTTGCTGTTGCGTTTGCGATAGAAGATCCAGATCATCCACGAATTCTAGATCATCCAACTACATCCTATATGTACACTGTATCCCATGTTTCACTTCAGATGTTGACGACTTCATGATCCAGTCGATCACCAGTATAAAGAGAACTCCGCCTGGAGTCTCTCTGCGGGCTACTGCTGGTCCCAATCCCGGATGGAGGAGTGTTGGGCATGGGGTTAGCGACCTCATCCTGTAGAAAACTAACTCGCTAAAAAAAACACTGACCAGATAACCTGTCCATGAATAATGCTATTTCATATTTAGCAATTTGCGTCTATCTGATAAGCCTAACTTGGAAGGAGTTCAACCATATTTCACAGTAAAATACAATATATTTAGACGCTACATTCTAGGACCCAAACTCCCAAGAAAAATGGGGCTTAGGACATGACTGATGGGTTAGGTTTATTAGTAAATGTAACTTTCTCATAGTCAAACTTAATACGTGTATGTTTGGTCTAAGTAAACCTACTTTTACAATCAGAAATTTGCTCATAAAGCAGCGGTATAACCACGGATCGATACTATCAATATACCTAGATTATGTAGTTTAAATCGGATTTAGGTAAACAAATGAACACAAACAGAAGGCTTACATAATTGTCTCACATCATATCACTTGCTTACATGTGGCTCAAATCTCCCACTGACATAACACTTGATAACTCATATTAACGAATGGTTAATATGAACTGTTCATTGGTGAAACTCTATCGAGTATAAGTATTGCCGTGAATATAATACATTTATGTAGAGAATAAATAGTTAGGCAAAACTATGTAAGAACTAGATAGACTGTGCATTTGAAAAAGTCCTGAATAAGCTAAATCCTTCACGAAACTCAATCAAGAATTTAATTCTGAAACAGGCAGAATCTAACTGTATTGTATTATTATGACAGGATAAAGAATAACTGTAAAAAGCGATCCACAACAATAGATATGATAAAGCTTTAGTATATCAACACGAACATGACTGCAAAGTGATATGAAGTCGGGCAAATCTTTTTCAAATGACAAAATATGATTTGGAATTTATTCATACCAGAATTATTTTATTACACTGAACATCACTAAACATTTGTGTTTTGTTCTTCACTTAGTTCACGAAGGCTGAATCTATCAGTAATGTTTTTATTATTCACTGGGTTCTACCTATCATTTTTCTATTTTTCTGTTTACTTCGTAATTCAGTGCCAATTGTTGGAGTTTTATAGTCATTAAGGATTTTACACCATTTAGGTAGAGCTCTACGCAACTATCTGTTACGAACATGGTCAGTACCTCACAGTCAAAAAATAACGAACGAGAAATACAAATAAATATGTCATAGGATATCATTGATGGCAATTACTTTTTAATATGAAGTATATACGGATTTATTGATCGACAAATGAACTAAAGTACTAGATATAGTACACCTTTTAAGTATAAAAAAAGGCCTCAGAAATATGATTTGATTGTGAAACATTTAAAATAAAACTCACTATTCAGAACAATTTGGTTGAGAAATAGAATACAAATTCATGTTTCATGCAGAAGAAAACCTCTATACAACAAATAATCTTTATTTCTATGTCAACAATAAAAAGATATTTATTTAGATGTTTTGTTAAAATGCAAACAAAACATTTCTTTAGATGGATCACATTTAGACTGAATTCATTAGTAATGTGTTGAGAAACTTCAATGTAAGTGTTTTATTTCTCAGAATATAAACATCAAACATGTTTGTGATTTAAATGAAAAAGGTCGATACATAATTTACTATGATTAGAATAGTTAAAATTTTACATTGTTTCTTACTGATTTATGTTGTCTTTGTAATGAAGACAGTATTATTGAACAGATTGAATAGAAGGAAATATGTGCATAAGGTATGAAAATTTGAATTTTAAAAGATCAAGATCTCATTCTACCCGATTCAATCCACAATTTAAGATTAAATAATCATGTGTTTACTGTTTATGTGATTATGAAAGCCACACACATCTCATAAACATCACACTTACATCATTTGTTTATATTTTCACATTATTAAGGTTCAAAGAGTTTTCGCGTTATGTTACTTGATAAAATGTGAATCATTAATGCAATAAAACTAGACCACAATAAACTGCATGCGCTGCGTCAAAGCAATAACTCATTAATCATTTTTTTCATTGATTTATCGCTATTTACATTTAGAATTGAATATATATTAGCAACAGTGAAAATGCAAATCACTCAATCGAAGTTCACAAAACAACGATTTGTCACAAATGGCGGTTTTTCATTAAGTAATGTACAAACACTAGTTACACACCTCAACTCGTCAGGTGTCTGAGGCGTTTACCACTTCCTTTATTTTGAAATAAGAAGGCTTCGATAGTGCGAGAGTGACAGCCGTTCGCTGTGTAAAAACTTCATCACGGTGTATTAACAAGCAGAAATCGCACTAACAGCAAACAATATGGAAACTGTTGCATTCAGACAAGGGTTAACCGACTGCACAAAATTCCGAACAACTGATACAATGATTGATATCAAGTAACTATAATGATAAGTGTTATAAGAATATGTAAACATTTCAGAATATTACACGACAAACTTGCATTACGACATGAACGTAGAAATTGCTAGGAGGAATACTTTTGTTTACTCAATATTAATAAGTAGCATGAAACAATACACAAAAGAGTCGAACTGAAGTGAAGTGAAGAGATTAAGCACAAAGAACGTATAACAGAAGTGACAGTAACAGTTTATTCAAAGTAAACACAGATTCTATTTCTTGGCCTAGATAAGATAGACTGATTCACTTTTTGAAACAAATTGTACCACCATTTTCAAGTCGTTTCTGTGAATTAGAAATCTTCGGAATAAAGAGTACTAATCAAATTACTGTTTATTTTGTACAGTACAGTACAGTAGTAGTTAGCCAATTAACACAAATCCGTAGCTTATTATTAATAATAAGATAGATGTTCAATACTAACGATTGTATTTGATCTATAATTTGTAGACATTTTTCAACTTTTAGCTCCAAACGTTCCAACAGAGAAGTCATTGCCACTGCGTTTCAGCCTGATAATCTGTGTGATATTAATGATGCATGATATTGCACTATCATCGAGTGTCATCATGAAATTTCTACATACCTTCTATAAAGTAATAGCATTTATGTTCTTTAAATCATTCCAACCAGCAATAGTTATTGCAATGGGTTTGTCTGAAATCGGCTGTAGATAAGTAAACATCATTCACGAATAATTCTATAAAGCCATGATAAATATGAATTCCATCATATAATTATTCTTGAGATATACTGAATTAGACAAGACCACTTATAAACTATCAATGAGAGTGTAAATAGAAGGATTGGATTGATATATATATATATATATATATATATATATATATATATATATATATATATATATATATATATATATATATATATATTATTATATATATTATTATAATTAATAAGATAGATGCTCCATACTAACAATTGTATTTGATCTACAATTTGTAGACATCGCTTTAACTGTCCGCTTTAAAATACCTGTGAAATATTAAACAACCACTTCTGAATATAGAATGATTAGCTAACTATTCATTTTAACTAATTTTGATCCAATGATAGTTTATAGTTTATTTGGAAACAGTCCTTAAACTCTCAAGGTCACTGTGACATATATATATATATATATATATATATATATATATATAAAACCAATTAGACCATTCTGATTAATTTATCACGGTCAACTGTAACCATTTCTAGTTGTCTCATTTAACTTAAATATCTAATATATAAACCATATTTATCTTCACTTCCATCAGTAATTATAAATTTGATAAGTGTCAGTCAACGTCTAGAAGTCTGATAAACACACATAACAATAAATTACTGAGTACATGTTTCTCATTTGATTTACTATTCGCCATCAATCACCAACCTAATCCATTGTTCTTTTGGTTTTAAACGCAATTTTTATTCACTTCGATGAGATCGACTAAATATTCAAAGCAACATAAACTTCTTGGAGAATTTATGAACATTGCAGTCGATGCACTCTTACGTTTGTCATGCATGATGATATTACTACCAAAATTGTTTGATTCAGACGCGCATGCAAAAATCACCATCGACGATGATACTGGTCACTTTGTTGATTCACAAGGATTTATTAAATTATTTCGTGGAGTCAACTGTGTGCATAAAGTCGCACCATTTTACTTTCCAAAACTACTTGACCCTCATTCATTCAGAGTACTTAGAGATTGGGGAATTAATGTTATACGCTTAGAATTCAATTGGATAGCATTGAAACCACAGGAAAATGAAACCAGTCGAGAGTACTTAGATATCATTGAAAAGATTATCGACAATGCTGGATTATATGGAGTTTATATTATCATTGACTTGCATCAAGATGGATTATCGAAACGTCTAGGTGCAATCGATGCTGTGCCTAATTGGTTTATGGATAAAATAAAGCGACCACCATATTTATTCCAATATCCTTGGCCACTAACGAAAGATCCAAGTAAAAGCAACTGGTTTCTAACGTACACCACGTATGAGAGTGCACATGTATTTGAAAGTATATATAAAAATGTCTCAGGAACATGGAATTATTTTGCAGAATATTGGAGGATAACAGCTAGTCGTTTCGGGAAGAAAGATAATGTTCTAGGTTATAATTTGATAAATGAACCGCCACCTGGAAATTTCTACATAAATCCATTCCTTCTTTTGCCTAGTAAGTGACAACTATGCAACATTTTAATAGTAGTATTGCTTTTGAACATTTTTATCATAATGCTTCATTCACTAGTTCGAGTCTTTTCATCACTTGACTGAAAATTTTCTTCTCGCTTGCAACGTATTTATTTATTCAAGTCAATTGATTGTGAAGTCGTTGGATGTTTATTGATTTGTAAATCAACCAGGTTTTTACTTGTCTGCCCGTTTATCAGTCGTTCCACTAAAATTATCATCTTAAATCACTATTAAAATAAGATAACGTCAATATGGACATCAGTGTGCATATTTTCAGTTTTAGAAGTGCACTTGTTCTTGTCATCAACTAATACAGAAATATGTTTCTAAGAGTATTGTGGTAACTACTTCATGTCGTATCATCACTATTGCAATCAGTTTGCATTACAACATCGGCATGTCTCATTCAAATAGTTTACATATTTTTCTTTGTTACATCAAGGTCAATTCAATAAATATCATTAAATGTGACTGTTACTGAGTGGAATTCTTCTGCTGCACGATTCACTACTCACTTTTCTTGATGTATTTTAGAGGAATGAAAATAGCTCAATGTAGCTCATTCAATCAGATGATTTTTAATCCAATCTGTTTGTGAGACATATCGTTGAGATAGTTCCTTTTTGGAACTAACTAACTAACTTCTCACTTTTTGTTTTCTATGAATTCCTCACCTTATTGAGAAAGGCTGACATTTATTTACAACAACTATTGATAACATATTTTTAACCTGGAAGTAATTGATTAGACGAAAATTCACCGACTGTCATACCCATCAAAATTGATGTAATACGATTAAGGTTTGATTAAAAATGAAGTCGTTCAAAAACAAATTACGATGCTCTTGGAAGTAAAAGGTAAACGATTTTCTCGACTTTCAGCGTAAGCGTTTTTCAGGCGGTTTTTCAGGCCAACACTTGGAGTTAGTAATTGATTTGATTTTGTCACATGGTTCCGTTTTCTTTCCCTCAATAATATTCTCATCAATCACTGTTAGAGAATTTGATTATTCAGCCCATATATTACTGAAATAAATGACATTATTAGCTCGAATAAACGATATCATGTAGTATTAGAATGAAAGGCGAACTCTAAACTAAATCCAAGTAACCACTTAACTCACTTTGTTTAGTCAGTGAAATTCGTACTGTATAATTACTTCTCATGACAGTCACCCTGAAGCATTACAATAGAGTATTCTGAGTTTAAATGTTCACGAGAAATAAAGATTCTTCGTTCTCTTTGACCTCACCAAGAATTTGAGTATCATATTGTGGTTTGGGCATTGTTAAAGCTTGGAAAATTGCGACATTCAAAACACTTAAAACACGTTTACAGAAATTAAAGTCAACTCGGACTTCATTGTAGCTTCCGAGTTCAGTAAATCTTAGACTACCGAGTTCAACAGTTCAAGAATGACATTCGATTTTTCAACTATGTCTGGACTAATTCTCATTCATTACTTTTACATCTATCCAAGCTAACAGTTTCAAGTTGATTTTTGTTTGAAGCAAGTTTCGCTTGTTCATTTATCGAAGTAAATATCGTGGATTATTAACCTAATTCAGAACACATTGAAACCTGACTGAGTTATTTCCGAATTACAATATTATCTTTATAGTATCTGAACCGAAAACTCAACTTATAGGGAGGCTTCTGAGTTACAATATCTTAGCCAGATATTAATAGTCGATTTAAACCCGTATTTAACAGTGTATTCTCTGACAATTATTGCCACAAATAACTAAACAACTATTACTGAACGGTTCAATGCTGTCACATCTCAGTAATTAACACCAACGAACTTGCACAGACACCAACATAAAATCCGTGGGTGTCGCAGAACGTCAGGAAATACAACCTTTATTGACATGTAGGAAACTTGGTTTTTCAATGATTAATAGAGCATTCGCGCACGTGACTGAAGATCTTGGTTTCGAGTCTCATGTATAGGATCGTAAATACACACCACTGAGTTGTCCCATACTAAAACGAAATGACCATCCAATGCTTCTAGGCTTTCAATGATAGTTTAACTTAGATCGACCCGTGATTTCAACTGTAAAAATAATAATAATTTTCACAACATTCATAGTTACTTATTACTACATCTTTAACTCGTACTACTACTACTAGTACTGAAATAGATTTACTTCCGATTCGTTGTCTAAATGACATCAATATTATTTCTCACGTATGAAAATATCTAATACGTTTTCAGTTCAATGCCTAGAAATTCCATTGCTCATCTCATTCTACCTGAATCAACCCTCATAATTTAACAGTAAATAATGTGTTTATTGTTTAAGTGATCAGGAATGACGTACAGATCTCATAAACATCACGTTTACATCATATAAAAAATCGATTTAAACACATATTTATGTTAGATTCAATAGGAATTTGCTGATTAATGCACATCTATAAAACGATCACTTTTACCTCATCTTGTCTTCAGTTTCATGTCGCTTTGTTCTTGACATTGCTCGGATGTGAAAATATCTCTCATTTGTGGGAATATGCCATTGTGACAATGTTGCACTAACAAACAAAACTATCAGTTTACAGTTGTGGAGACAATCGAGTTTCTATTGAAAACCTGAAAGCACTGAATAGCCGTTTCGTATTAAAATGTGGTTCCTCAACAGTGCGCGTCCCGCTTGCAGGACCATCGATGTTCGCTGCTGAGTAGTCATATTTCAGGACTGAACCGCTTTTCAGTACTTCCAGACTCTAGAAGCAAGTGATCAACCGTAGTCATGGTTATCAATAAAATATTTACTAAAGCAACTAAACCAACATCTTATCAGTTTTATCGTGATTCATGCAGAAACAGCATATGGCAACTGCAATATTGAATAACATATATCTGAATATTAGAAGGTAGATGACAAGCAGAGAATTCATATCATCATTATGACAATTAACATCAGTAGATGAACTAAAAACGAACAACACGATTTGTTTATTGCTTTTGGCTATTCAATGTTTGGTTGGTGATAATTTAGAACACATACATAAATGAGCACAAAATGATGGTAATATTGGTCCTAATAACAATCATAGTAAGAATAAAAAGGGTGTTATGTAGAACTATTTTACGTGTTTATAATTTCAGTCAGTGTGATTTTGGAATTCGCCATCTTCACCATTACGATTATCACTCATTCTGTCTGTCTGTTTTCCACCGTCAATGTAATCAACAAAACGGACATCGAGATAAGATCCGACAAAATTAATCAAGTTACTCATTAACGTACACTATGCATGATGTCGTCTTAGGTGATTGATTTGTTCATATCGTTAAATTACAGAAGTTCACTTACAAATGATGAACATTTTGTAATTATTAGAAGAGAATTGGGTTCTCCTGTTATTGATATTTCCAACTGAATGTAAATAAACACGAACACTTAGATGTAAGATGACCCATCTAATAAGTCCCTAATAAAATGAAAAGAGTTTCGTGAATTTCAATAACTACCACAATCTATCTTTCCGAAAACAGTCTGTCCATAACAGATATGTTTGTTTCAGTAGAAAATAGACTATTTAACTTATGCATTGCGATATTGAATATCATTGTTGTGAAATTTCCATTATTTTCATTCTCGAAATCTATTTCGATTGTTACATTTCCGATATTCTTTCCTTTTTGTATTCGGACAGATAATGCAGGTGAAAATCTCTTACCATTTTATGATTATTTGGTGAATGTTATTCGCCAAACAGACAAGAATACATTGATATTTTACGAGAGTGTAACTTATGGAATATATTTTCCATTTGTCAATGGAATACCCGGTACTGGCATCCAACGTGTTCCTGGTCTATTACAAGATGAGATGGCCAGAAAGAAGAGTGTATTATCTTATCATTACTACTGTTGGCTATTGGAATCGACACCATCTACAGAGGATATGCCATCATGGAAACGATATTTGTGTGATCAAGTGAGAGTTTTCTTAACCTGGTTTATTGTTTGTAACACATGTGCATTCATTCCAATCACTCGATGCTTTAATACCAACATTAACCAACTGATATTGTTTAGCATAAGCTAACTGGCTTTCATTTTATTCGTAACATGATTGTCAAACTTGACTGCAACATTTTGAAATCTTTCGTCACCCTTATTAATATTTTGTAAATAAATAAATGATTGCATCTCTATTCAGAACAACTACATTTAATTAAATTGAACGTCGAACGATTGCTGACCGAAAGTATTTTCATAATGAAATATTATTTACATTTTACACCATGTCCTCACGTTAGCCAGACAACTATTCACTACTCTGTAGTGAGTGCTTACAACCCTTACAACCCTAACAGAAAACAAATCTTAAGCTTTAATATTTCTTAGCGAGTGAGTTCTCAGATCAGCAGTTTAGCATTCGATGGCTGACACTTTAGCTTCAGTCAGCTGAATTCCTCACGTTATTGTCAAGCCTAAAATTTAATTATCTCACCAAATTTCATATGGTAAGAATGTCATTATTTATTGGTCGTCAGTTAAACAACATACAGTCTGAGATATTTTGTTAGGCAAGTTTTCCCAAAAAACCAACCATGTGAAAGTAGACTTTAGCTTCAGTAATTGATACCTCACTTGAAAATATTATAAATAGTGAAACATTGAATCTGCTAACATTTTACTCTTGATTATCTTATGATTAGATAGATATAAGCGTTTCTAAATATTTCAACTGATTTCGATCATGATATTAAATTGATTGATTGACTACTCCAAATCCGTTTGACTATAAACATGTGATTAGTCGCAATTCTTCACAATGTTCACATTTAAATAGCTTGTTAATGCGATTGAGTTAGTCGATGTTTTATGAAAAGAGTTATCTGTTGGTTCTGGTTTGTTGATCCTTGACAGAAATTTCCAAGCCAAATTATCTCTCATCTATGCAGACCTATGGAGTTATGATGTCACACGTTTCAGTTTTATAGCTGAACATTTTAAACACGCTCATTAAATATGTAAATGTTGACTAGGAAAATAAGTTTGAGCGAACTCAGACAAGTACTTGTAGCTCACTTTTGTTTCCGAAACCACGTAGCACTCTACGAAATTTCGTTAGATCAGAATGAGAAGTTATTATCACCGGGATTCGGCCATATCAACGATGAAATATTTATCATCTATGACATCGCACAACCAATGAGCTCTATCGAGAATTCAGTTAACAGTGATTGTTTATGAGTTGTATTTGATCTTAGAGGTCTACATTTTCATTTCCTACCTTCAGGTTTGGATTTTTGTGATCCAACATTTGTCGTCATTGTGAATGAGTACTCCTGAGGTGTTCCGTTGTAAGACAAAAGATTCTCTAATGATTTCTCGTTTTAGGTAATACATTCACTGTTGGTGATCCTCTGTGAAAACCAAACCGTTCACAGTGTTTACATTGGATACCGAAAATAGCAATGATAATAGTAATAATAATAATCAAAATAATAACGATAATGAAAACAACAAAACACTCATGTATTTCAGAATTTATTTACTTAGAAGTGATGTGAAAACATCCATAAACTAGCTCATATTTATCAATTACCAATCACCAATTCATTTATTTTCACGATGGAAATACTCTCAGTAAACAATGTGATGATGAATGAGTTTGCAAAATTGTTAGAACCATGGTGTACTTTGTAATTGATTAAAACAAGTTAAATAAGTTGAGAGGTTTCTACATTCCTTCTATAAAGTAATATCATTCATGGTTTATGAATCATTCTGACTAATAAAAGATATAGCAATGGGTGTGTCTGAAATTGGGCGTAGATGAATAAATAACATTGACGAATAATTCTACAAAGCCATGATAAGTAGGAATTCTGTCATCTTTGTATTCTTGAGATATAGTGAATGAGCCAAAACCACCTATAAACTAAACGTGAAAGTGGAAACAGAAGCATTGCATTCATATGTATATTGTGTTAGGGTTAGGGTCGCTGACGCAACGTCCAGTTTATGAAGTCGAGTGAAATTCTGATATGATTATTGCATCGATAAATACAAGGGGAAGAACAATTCCGTTCTGTTATTCGCACCAACTTGTAAGACATTGATTGTTACGAACAAAATTGACTAACAAATTATTGTGTTTAGTTCGAGCTCCCATTTACCGTCTGCACATACAAAATGCATGAGATCAGACAAAACAGTGAATATTTCATTTAAAGTACAAACGATAGTTTTAACTGATATGGATAAATGTTTAATGTGTCCTTAATAAATGATGAACTGATTGGGGTGAACAAAACACCAGAAAACAAACTGAAATTAATTACAGTACTGTAGAGTAAGTAATCTAGGAACCAAAATACTAAACACTATGATTTCACATGAAAACTGTAATTAATAGCAATGGGTGCTAATCAATTTATAAAATAAATGTTCGATGATTCAATGAACTGACATGATGTGATTTCATGAATACACTAACAATCAGTGTATTCAAAGCGTCATTCATAATGTGTGGAATTTCATAACTAATCTCATTCTTCATATATTTGTGGTGATTGCTGAATTATTATGTTTGAATAGACTGTAAAGCTTCAAAGGTTTTAGCAAAATGGAACATTAGTGGAATGTTTTGTGCATGAACAGAAGGGGATTTATCTCGTTTTCCGTTAACATAGTGGTGGATAACAGTGTTGTTGTTTGTATGGACTATGAACAAATAACGACTATTTGCAGAATTTCTCATTACACACACACACACACACACAGATAAACTGTAATTATTTCATCTCTATCAAGCATACTAATGTGAGAAATTCCTTTGAGTGGATTCAATCAATACGTGAATTCTGACGCCATCATGTGATTCATTCCGTCATTTATGATACTCGTAATTGAATATTTCCAATAACTATATATGGTTAATCAAATAGGCAGGCGGCTTATGTAGAATTTTCGGTAAATGTGATATTTAGCTAGACAAACATAATGGTCATTCGCTGACGAGATGTCACTTTCTGGTATCAGTTCATTTCCACCGTAATGAATTGACAATAACGAGTTATGTGAATTGTTAAGAAACGACTGGTTTTATGATGATTTGTAGTATCATCCACATTGCTTACCGGCCACATTGTAATCAAACCACATCATTCGAGATTACTCAATTTTCATGCCTTTCCTCCTCACTCGGTCATGTACAAATTCGTCAACGTAAATATAATGATAACCATTGGAAATAGGAGAAGATTGAACGTCTGTTGTTTCGCAATCTGTTATGACTCAGTCATAAATGTAATCAGTGATAGGTGAATGAACAAAATGATTAATGTGTTATTGCTTTGATGCAGTGTATGCAGTTTATTATAATCTAGTTTCATTACATTAATCATTCTCATACTTAATCAATGTTAATATTTGTATTGGTTGTGTGTAGCACCTCTTGAATTATGCATTCGATAATGTGAGAAGTATCGTTAAATTCACTGGTGGCGGACGCTTTTTAACAGAATTCGGTCTGTGTCTTCCTGATGGCAATCCAGATTCAATAAATACGGTTGAATGTAACGCTGTGATGAATGCAGCTGACCGTAACTTCGAATCCTGGACCTATTGGGACGGAAATGAATTATTTCCTAACTTAATTGTGGACAACATTTCCGTAGGTCTTATTATTGATAAATACCTATTTTTGATTTATGTCAATTTTATACGAGAGTCATTTTGTTCTGTTCCCACTCGTTTTCACCATCATCAGCAACTGAAATACTCCACTTTGGCTCTCCTTCCTAGGCCGAACCGCACACACTGATTACTACGTTCTCCGCCTCGCAACCGTGTCCTCAGAACTTCACCGTTTCTGCCTCCCCTTCGGCAACGATTCCAAGTGTAGTGAACGAGAAGTCAGGTGGGGAAACCCAGATAAACTCGGAGAGGAAAACTCCACCAAATAAAATGTTTTATGTTTATGCTTTTGATTTAGACAATTTCCTTTGGAGCTTAAATAGCCCACACAAAATAAAACTGCTAATAAATTCAGTGACGTATGGTTGATAAAATGTTAACATGACAATAAATAGTGAGTTCAGATACGTTGTATATTGGTTATAAAATTAAGCGTTTATGTTCTCTTATTCACACACAACTCACTCCGCTATTCAAACAATTACTTTGTAAGGAACATATTCTGAAATCACTCTTCCAGTCCTCATCATCTACTTTCTGTTTGAATTTCATGTTCGGCTTGAGATAACTTCGGAAAACTCCAGTATTAGGCATTATCAAACTTTCGTTAACCGCCAGCATAACACGATCATCTGATGTGCTTAGTGAAAATGTTTTCATCATCAGGTTACGACAACCCATTTCTTGAAAACAATTCGAGAATGTTTGTCATCATTAATGACAGTCCAATGACCGAAGAGCAGCAAAACGACAAGCGATGACTTGAAGAATTCACTTCGCTTCCGATCTTCTATTTTCAATGTCATTTATGATAGAGTTCTAAAGTAAGCAGCTTATGAGCAAAAACATCTGGTCGAAAAACATCAACAGCTGACTCCATTTCTGTGGTGATATTAATTTTCGATGAGTCATTTTACTTCATACTGTAATCACATAACTAGCTAATCATCAGTGTTTGATCATTCGTGTATGTGAAATACGATAAGAAATTAATTTGTCATTGTTCCTTTACAAATATTTCAATAACTATTTCATCCTAGTATATCTCTGCAAAGCTTCCTTACCTCTTTGCTTGTCAAGCTATCAAGTCACGGTTTACACTGTCTTCAAATCAGATAACTTGCATATGTATTTCACATTAATGCAGTAGATTGTTTCACTTCATTATTTCTTCTATCTCATGCATGCAGTTGAAATCATTCAGTCGTGCATATCCACAATCAACTGCCGGTCGACCTGTCCAGCTGAGATTCGATGTTGATTCAGGTGTGTTTTATTATGCTTTTGTACCAACACAGAAGTATTGTACAAATGTGGACGCAGCATTGTTAGTTGCAGAGATTTTTGTTCCAATGTCGATTCATTATCTAAATGGAGTGAGAACTCGTTTTATACCAGAACAATTGTATTATAAAATATATGAAAATAATACTAATTTAATGTTTGTCTATGCACCATGTACGTTGATCAACACAAATATTGAACTTATGCAAATAACCATCATACCAAACACAATTCAAGATAAGCATTCAGACAACAATAATTAAACTCATTTACTAACTTATTCCAAATCTTTATCAATATTGTTCATTGTGAACTGTTGGATGATATTTTCACATCATAATGCAATAAAACTAGACTACAGTAAACTGCATGCGCTGCATCAAAGCAATAACTCATTAATCATTTTGTTCATTGATTTATCACTATTTACATTTATAACTGAATATACATAAGCAACTGTGATTATGCTGACATTCAATGTTCTCAAATTTCCAGTGATTTGCATTACATTTGCGTTCAAGTGATTATGACATACAGTTGAACATATTGAAAAGATTTCAAATAATACCAAAATAAGATGTTTCGCTTATCAAAACCAGTTTTCTTTTCCAATGCCTTAACCCTATTCCATACACTCGACATCCTTTCAGATTTTCCTATTCATCAAATTGTCAATAAGTTATGTGAACTTCTCTTGATGTAATCACAAAATGGTCACGTATTTTCTATAAAATATAAAAGTTTATATTTACCGTTGTTCAATTAAAATGCATATTGATATGTGTTACTCAACGACTAGATTGATAAGTTAATTACCTAATCAAGTCGTAACACAACATTCACTTCATAAATTTTCTTATTGTGATAGAAATACAAAAGCTGGTTATATGTAATTTCGAAAGCACTTGATTCATCCAAACAGTAAGGAAGTATCGACGCATACAATACCCATCTATTGTCACTCGTAACTCACGGTAGAAGATGAAAGTAACTGTTAAGTGTACTGAAGCGTGCAAATCACTCAATTGAGATACATGCAAAATCGAAGTTCACAAAACAACGATTTGTCACAAATGGCGGTTATTTACTAAGTAATGTACAAAAATCAGTTACACAACTCAACTCGTGAGGTGTCTGAGGCGTTACCACTTCCTTTGTTTTGAAATAAGAAGGCTTCGATAGTGCGAGAGTGACAGCCGTTGGCTGTGTCGAAACTTCATCACGGTTTATTAACAAGCAGAAATCGAACTAACAGCAAACAATATGGAAACTGTTGCATTCAGACAAGCGTTAACCGACTGCACAAAATTGAGAACAACTGATTGATATTGATGATTGATATCAATTAATTATAATGATAAGTGTTAACGATGAATGTTATAAGAATATGTAAACATTTCAGAATATTACACGACAAACTTGCATTACGACATGAACGTAGAAATTGCTAGGAGGAATACTTTTGTTTACTCAATATTAATAAGTAGCATGAAACAATACACAAAAGAGTCCAAGTAAAGTGAAGTGAAGTGAAGTGAAGTGAAGTGATTAAGCACAGAGAACGTATAACAGAAGTAACAGTAACAGTATGTTCAAAGTAAACACACATTCTATTTCTTGGCTTAGATAAGATGGACTGATTCACCTTTTCAAACAAATTGTACTAGCTTTCTCAAGTCGTTTCTGTGAATTAGAAATCTTCGGAATAAAGAGTACTAATCGAATTTCTGTTTGTTTTGTACAGTACAGTACAGTACAGTACAGTACAGTACAGTACAGTACAGTACAGTACAGTACAGTACAGTACAGTACAGTACAGTACAGTACAGTAGTAGTTAACCAATTAACACAAATCCGTAGCTTATTATAATTAATAAGATAGATGCTCCATACTAACAATTGTATTTGATCTACAATTTGTAGACATCGCTTTAACTGTCCGCTTTAAAATACCTGTGAAATATTAAACAACCACTTCTGAATATAGAATGATTAGCTAACTATTCATTTTAACTAATTTTGATCCAATGATAGTTTATAGTTTATTTGGAAACAGTCCTTAAACTCTCAAGGTCACTGTGACATATATATATAAATAAGACCAATTAGACCATTCTGATTAATTTATCACGGTCAACTGTAACCATTTCTAGTTGTCTCATTTAACTTAAATATCTAATATATAAACCATATTTATCTTCACTTCCATCAGTAATTATAAATTTGATAAGTGTCAGTCAACGTCTAGAAGTCTGATAAACACACATAACAATAAATTACTGAGTACATGTTTCTCATTTGATTTACTATTCGCCATCAATCACCAACCTAATCCATTGTCCTTGTGGTTTTAAACGCAATTTTTATTCACTTCGATGAGATCGACTAAATATTCAAAGCAACATAAACTTCTTGGAGAATTTATGAACATTGCAGTCGATGCACTCTTACGCTTGTCATGCATGATGATATTACTACCAAAATTGTTTGATTCAGACGCGCATGCAAAAATCACCATCGACGATGATACTGGTTACTTTGTTGATTCACAAGGATTTATTAAATTATTTCGTGGAGTCAACTGTGTGCATAAAGTCGCACCATTTTACTTTCCAAAACTACTTGACCCTCATTCATTCAGAGTACTTAGAGATTGGGGAATTAATGTTATACGCTTAGAATTCAATTGGATAGCATTGAAACCACAGGAAAATGAAACCAGTCGAGAGTACTTAGATATCATTGAAAAGATTATCGACAATGCTGGATTATATGGAGTTTATATTATCATTGACTTGCATCAAGATGGATTATCGAAACGTCTAGGTGCAATCGATGCTGTGCCTAATTGGTTTATGGATAAAATAAAGCGACCACCATATTTATTCCAATATCCTTGGCCACTAACGAAAGATCCAAGTAAAAGCAACTGGTTTCTAACGTACACCACGTATGAGAGTGCACATGTATTTGAAAGTATATATAAAAATGTCTCAGGAACATGGAATTATTTTGCAGAATATTGGAGGATAACAGCTAGTCGTTTCGGGAAGAAAGATAATGTTCTAGGTTATAATTTGATAAATGAACCGCCACCTGGAAATTTCTACATAAATCCATTCCTTCTTTTGCCTAGTAAGTGACAAGTATGCAACATTTTAATAGTAGTATTGCTTTTGAACATTTTTATCATAATGCTTCATTCACTAATTCAAGTCTTTTCATCACTTTACTGAAAATTTTCTTCTCGTTTGCAACGTATTTATTCAAGTCAATTGATTGTGAAGTCGTTTTATGTTTATTTATTTGTGGCCATCATTTATCGATTGACCAGTTTGCATTCATCGCAATTTCAAGCCCTTATAAGCTTGTGATGTTAGACTGAATAATGTGTTACTAGACTTTAATAACTGTATTAAAATGAGTTTGGTTTCTAGTTCAAGTAGTCCTGATTGAACTTTAATTACCAGACTACGTATGAGGTAGCCTATGTTGTATAAATGGCAATGAATAATTCACATAAGTGTTATGTTTGATTGGGTGGTATTTTATACAAATGTTTAAATGTTACCACTTACTTATTGACTGACGTGTACATTAAAGTAACTAGCTTCTATCATGTTTGCCAAAAATTAATTGTTATTATAATTATTGGTGTTTTTTGTCGTTAATTTGTGTCACTTACCAAACGACCTTGTCTTACAGATAATTTTTATTATTTATTATATATCCAACTATAAATCTCATGAGAGCAATCGAATGTTAGGCCTGAATACTGAAATTTGTCAGCATTGTATAATCTCATGTGTATATTGATTACAATAAACTTAATCAGAGTATAGCTTAAGATGCTAGATATAAGATTGGTTTATTTTATTTAATCTCTATTCGCTTAATGTTAATGTGTTTAATTTAAACTTTCATAATTAGGCAAAATCCCATTTAGGTTCTTTCGTGGATGATTACTAAGAAACTTGATTACTTTCTATACGGTCTCCTTGCATTCTAAGCTTATATGCTTCAAGTTTTATATGAAATAAACTGAAAACTTTCACTGTCTATCTCAAAAGGAATACTGATGTAGATCATTTGTAAAGTTTGTAAAAACTTGAATTTCTATCCAAACAACTTTAGTTTTCGACAAAAGACTTACTGCAGAGATGATGAAATACGTACACAAACCATTCGATGTTTGTTTTGTATATTCTAACTGTTCACTTTCGTATCTTTAAAGTAGGCCTACAGAGAATTCAATTGAGCAGATTTTAAAACCTAAATTTTCAACATAAAGTGAAGTTAGAACAAATTATCACGAATACCTAAATGATGACCATAAGTCGAATAAACGAAAAACCTCAACAATTTCATTATGTCGTAAAGTGATGTAGCGGATAAATAAAGGAAATACGATTACTAACATTAATATATAATTAATACTCATTATTAGCTTGATTAAGTAAAAGTAAATAATCATGCGATTTGTAGAATGATACATATCATGTTATTTACAGAGCATCCAATTATTTAAATTCACTTTGTATTATTGACTTCAGCCTTCTCAATTGATCAGTCTCTTAATGGCATGTGTGGCTATAAGGACTCAGTAGCTGAGTGGGTAACACGATGGCGTTTGAAACGAACGGTGCTGGGTTCGAGTCCCAGAGCGAACATCAACTATGAGATGCAGGTACATTCAGCCGACGAGTCCCAAATAGGACGAAACGCGCGTCCTGGATTCCACTGCTAACCACTATCCATCTTTGCTTATCATCCAAATATTTGCTTAATAGATTTTTTACAAAAACTTTATTTTTCATCGATAAACGATTTAAAAGAATGCAACAGAAGAAAGTTTCTTTGATTAGATAAACAGTAATAATATGTTATATAAAAATAAAAGGTCTAGACACAGATTTGTACTGATTTGTTTACATCAGGTAGGTTGAAGTAAACTTCTACTTAAAAATTTTAACTTTGTCCTAATTGAAGAATTTTCTAGCGTACACACTCATAGCCAAATAATGGATCAAAATCAAAAGCATCAAATCTCGAAATACGTTACTACTAAATCAATAATTTGAAATTGGAAGGTTGAGGAAATTCTTACAGTAAATGTTACTGAAAAGTATTGAACTGGGACGAAATGCGAAATTTTCTAAATGGAATATGTTCATAGTGAAAGTAATCTTGATATTTAATAAAATTACCGTAACTGACACATAAACATTATGATTTATATAA